CCGTTGACATTCGTTTCGTTCTGATTATCGATTTCTTTCATAATCGAGCAAGTGCATAGTTCTCCCAGTCTCTGACACCTCAATGGACATGCAGACACAGGCACACCGATCATTCAACCGATCACTTCAACCACACGAATTCTCTTGTGACCTCCATTGCCCCTTACTATTGGTTGACCTATGTTCCGTCTACCCTTGTTCTGTACCGGTTCACCGCTTATCATTTGTCGATTATTTAACCACGTACGCACATGTGACCTGTTTTGATGGCTCCTCAGGAGTCACCTGTTCATTTACACACATACATGCCGCTGTTGAGAGTTCGAATTGTGTGTGCCCAACTCTTATGATTGGCTCATACTTTGGAAACTTCATGTCACTGCCTGACTGGACTCATTTTACTTGACTCCGTATACTTTGGTCATATCCTCTTTTTGACACAGCGGTGAGCTGTCCCCTTTTGAATCACCTGGATTGTAAGGTGTATTTCGACACAGCCCAGCGCTTCATCTTCCTATTTGATGCACTTATATCTGGAAGTGCCTTGACGATTGCTCTAACCCAGATACCTCACCAATCAAGGTTTGTGTATTATTTATCATGTCATGAATTAATTCGTATTAATACTACCGCGTCACGAGACAGTCTTGGTTTTCATTGCTTTGGAACCGGGACTTTGCGGGTCACTTGTCGCCAGGTTTAACATGGGAAGGTAGTTTTTCTAATTCCGCAGAAAAGGAATTAACAATGTGTATATAATAATGAAGTGGAAAAAGGAGTACCGAATGTCAGAAAGTAAAATAGACTCTATTAGAAACTCATCTGCGAACTGATACAATGTACAGGTGACCTCGGAAAAAGGTACAATGAAATCAAGGCCGAGAGAAAATATAGAAATTATTTCCAGTGGGACTTTGTGATGCGCAAGATCCGGTGACGGGGATTTGATGATCGGAGTAGAGCAGGTAACCAATGAGACAAAACTAGATTTTCTAATGTTTATATCTTATTTGCAAATAGTGATTTCTCAGTTCCCCTGTCATAAGAGATGGATCGCTACTGGGGTGAGGGAAAATGAAGGTTTGAGTGTCAACGGTGGTCAACTGTGTATGGATTACGAAAATCAAGGAGTTTTCCGAAACCGCATTACACCTTGGCATCGAGGAGTACACATCTAGGGTGATCAGATAAACTTTTGTGTGATTTGTGTTTTCTAGGGGACTGGTTTTCAGTATTTGACTATCAGTGTAGTTTGCAACAGTAAATTGTACAAGACCACGAAACGAGACCGGACATACCCTTTTGCTTTTACTTCATTTTTGATTGAAGGGAGAAGCGATCAACGACAGGGATGATGATTGTGGTGGTGGTGGTGGTGGTGGTATGATTAGAG